CGTCACTGCAAAATGGCCGATTAAAAGCGACGTTGCCGCATGACATTAATGACATTTTAAATGGTTTAATTCAATTAAAACCTTTTGAATAATTAAATAATAACGATTATAAAACAATAAATTTCCCAAATAAGGTTTTGGAAACTTGTTTCTAGTTTAATTTTAAAGAAAAAATGTTTAATCGTTAATTATATGTGAGTAAGACAGAGACAACAATAAAGTAGTACACGTTTGCAAAAACCCCAAATGGGTGAGATAAAGTAGGATGCCATTTAAAACGCAAAATTATCAAATTACGATGAAAACCAAACAAAGCAAATATTTGATAAAGTAATACCCACTTAAATATTTAAAAAATTGATAACAAAAGTACCGTTAAACTGGTAAGGGCCTCCTTAGCCGGAACTAAAGGCCCGCCCACACAGCGCTGGTTTATGTGGATAAGGTTAGATACTCTAATAGACAAGAAATTAAATAGTTTGCTACGTTGTCGTGATCACGTCACGCTTTTTATAGAACTTTGGTAGCGGTCGTGATCCGTGATTTTTAGATATCAGTGATTAAATCACAGTTCGTGATATATCGCTCATCACTACTTTTTTTGTACGAATGCTGTACACATCTAAAATGTTGGGAAAGGTGAGTGGAGAAAGCACGAATCAGAAATTATTGTTATATCGAATTTAGATACAGAAATACAAATTAATTAGAACATCGACATTAGACTGTAGGCAGTAGGCTAAGACTCTTTGAGAATTTGGAAAAAAAAAATTGAAAATTGTACCAAATATGCCAACGTCGTACCAGCGTACTTTTACAAAGCGAATGGTAGGTACCAAATTTGGTACAATTGTACCACCTCTGGCAACACTGATTTCAGTCAAAAAACTTCTCTTCTTTTTTTGTAATACAATCCTGTTGCGTGTCTCGTTTGACATTTATTTCTTGCGGGTTCTCACCCAAGCTATCTCTATCTCTTTTTTGCGTGCAGGATTGGAAAGAAACATGTATATGCCGAACTGCTTTTTCAATTTGAGAGATTTGTTCACTCATTGAGCGCATGCGCAAGATATGGGTCAAAATGCTCCTATTGGTTGAAGAATTTGGCCTCAAAAAATATGGAGAGTTGTGTACAACTGTATCGGTACGGTATAAACTGTGTTTATTACGTTTTCGGTCTTGGTAGGTTTTGATTACTTGTTTCATGATGAATTTACATCTTGATTATACACATGAGGATATCTATAAGTTTTCGTGTGCACTGATATTTCGTCTGTTGTTTTAATCTCATGTTTGACTTGATGAATGTCAATTATTCATTTGGCTTGTGGAAAATTTTAGGAAAAGATTTGATTACGCATCAAATTCCCCTGAGTTTAAATGATTAATACGTAGCGACTTTATAGGGTCATTTACATATTCATCATTTTTCATTGTTCTACATTAAATATCTCAAACTGTCCATCAGCATAAGGTAAACTTATTTCCGCTCTAAGTTATTTATATGTTATATGGGCTTATTCATTAAGTTGTGTACTTCTAAAGGCATCATTTCATTAATGACTGTTGCTATTGTCGAAGAAATATGATATGTTTAATTTTTATCGGAGGTGTAAGAATTTCAACGCCATCAGCTATATTCGTGTTGAAATAGCAAACTTGAACTAAATTACTTGGAACCTCAAAATTTTGATTTTCGAAATCTACTGTTCTGTATGGAAATGGAATTGTTGTTTTGTTATTAGGAAGAAGCATATTGGAAAAATCTATATTTAAATAATTTTCTTGTGATGCTTTGATTCCAATAATTCCATCCAAATAGTCATGGAAATTGTACATTATCATTTCAATGTTGTTTTGAATATTATATTCTTATAAAATTGGGACATTGATTGTTCCTTGGGTTTTTGTTGTACCCATACAAGTACCTAGTTAATTTGTTTCGTGAATTAATTATAGAATTTGAAAAATATTCTTCTGCGATTGAGGGTCTTATTGAAAAAGCATGACTTCCTGTGTCAATTAATAATTTACACGGTGGATAGTCTATTTGAATAATAGGGAGTTTGAGGGAGGTTGATTTGATAAGCATTTAAAGTTAATGCTGACTTATTGCATCTAAGGCTGGTAACTGAAAGTTTTCTTTTTCAGTTTCGACTTGATTTTCTTCAAAATTTGTCTCTTCATAATAATTTCGATTTTCGGAACATTCTTCAGTTTCGAAATTTTCGTCAGAGTCAGGTAATTCTATTTCAAATATATTATTAATTTCTTCGATTGTATATCTTGATGATCCTGCATTTGAAAAAGTTATTGGGTCTGAATTGATGTTGATTGACTAATGAATGGAAATTTGATTTTCACTTCATTCTTTGAAAGGTACACTTGAAGTTTCTACTAATCACTTCTATTACATCTGCTCTGTAACAGCTGAACTCGATACAACTGAATCTTTTTTTGGACAGTGCAAGCTTTTCTATATATTTTTTCTCCTTGTTATGTTAACCCTAATGAGCATCCACACCATCCTCTTCTTTTTGATGTTATGAAGTGTAGTCACAGGCGTGGTAAATGTTCCCCTCAAATTATTATTCAGTGTCTGCTTCTCTAAAAGTAGGTAGTGAACTTTTGGGCAGCGATTATTTACTGAGAAGATTGTGAATGGCACCATAATAAAAACACAAAAACTCATTTAAAGAAAGAAAGATATTAGGTAGGTATGGTGAAAAACCTGAAGAAAATGATTTAATCCGACAATAGTGATTCGTTTTTGAGCTGCACTGAACAAAGCGAAAGTATACTGAAACAATTTGGTCTAATTTGAATGAGGAACCGAAAAATCAATTAGGAAAATGTTTAAATACAATGTTACGAGTAATCCGAAAGTGGGTACCTACCTACTTACGTATGTCTAGTCAAAGTATAAAATATCCTGGTTGAAAGTAGGGAAAGAGAATATTATTTTATACGAAATTATTTTTCGGGGTAAATTGGTTTTTGCCGACAATATTGACCGAGCTAGGCCAAAGAAACAACGACCCAAATTAAATAAAACAATAAGATTTCATCGTTATCTTTATTGGACTGCCTCAAAACCCCATATCATACAAAAAAAATTGGATTGTTAATTTTTTCTAATTAATTAAATGTTTAGGTGTTAACAAATTGCGTTTTTTTTTAAGCTTAATTTTTATTTATCCGTGACCATTTTATGTAGTTGTATGTACACGTGAAGTGATTTAAAAGTACGCCAATATTTCGGCAAACTGATACATAATGTTGCGCACTTATTTTTATGAAGAAAAATCTAGTCAATAAATAGCTGTTTATTTTTAATAATTTTAGACGCAAATTGTAGTAGATGGTGCGCTTGATATCATTATTGTCAGTAATAAAACAATAGTACAGTTTATTGGTTATATAAAGGTCATTTTTTAGGTGCCCTCAAAGAGAGATTTGTTCATAGTGAGTGCTATTATTTTCTCAATCAAGTTTTATGCATCTGCAAAATGGCCTTTTAAAACCTTTAAACTTTTTCATAAGTATCACAAAAGAGTGAGTTTGGATTACTTATTTTAATGTTTCGAATTTTGATATATTATGCTGTTATGCACCTGTCATTTGGTCAAAACGATTTTCACAATGTAAATAAAATACACAAAATTTAGCACACATTAACATACATCATAGTCACACGGTAATATAAGGATCAGGTAACTGGCTGGTAAACATTTTATTTATAAACCGCTCAAACTTATTTTCAAATCGACTTAACAAACTTTTGAATTTTCAGTTTATAGGTAGTTAAAGTCTCGTTCACAGATTTCGATCTTTTTTCTGATCAATCCCAGCCTCATTATACATTATGACTTCCAGGAAATAGTTTCTTAATTCAAGCATTATTTTTCCTTTCAATTTTATAGTAAAACGTAAAATGTTGACTTAGTTCAAAAAATTGTTGCTCAAATAAGTATTTTTGTTGAATCGTCCTCTGATTTGAGAGCTTAAAATATTTGATTTCTACTGGGGTACTTAAAAAAATCTTCATGAAATAACCACAAAACGCAACGCCGACGAAGCTTTATTTAGCTGTTAACAAAAAAGCAACAAATATTTAGGGAAATACCAAATGTGTACTTAACAATTTTTAGATAATATTTATGGATACATTATTCATTACCAAATTAACGGTTATGTATCCATAAGGCTGGTACATGAAAAAAAAAATCGTTATTTTCTGTTAGAGCTAATAAGAAATACGTTGCCAAAGAGCTGAAACTCCCAAAGATATTTTTGAATAAAATGGTAATAGAAACGTTGAACTAGAAAATTATTATGTACATCCCCATAATTAATACAATTATATTAAGCGTATATTACTATGGTTATAAAATCGTTCAGTTATTTTACTTGAAATTTTACTTCTAATTACAAAAATTATTACTAAATTTTGAAGCACTTGAACTGAGTAACTTTTCAAGCAAAATTAACTGAATAGTTGATAAGAAAACGATATCACATAGCAAATGTAGAATTTACTTTGGCTCAAGAATAAACCAAAAAAAAAACAAAACAACCCTGTAAATGTTCCAATAATATTTCCATTTTTCTATATCTGTAACCTAATTGTACACGGATCAGAAATAATATTATACATGGTTATGATGATGTGACGAGGATATTATTAATATTAATTATATAAAATCACAAATCAATGTAAATATGTCTGTAACGATGAATAAAAGGTGGCTACTAAGTTTTAGGTGCCGATGTAATAATTGAAAGTAAAAATAAAGTCAACATGATGAATTTTTTTTTTGTTTTATTTGCCATTATCTTCTGTGGCTTTCATTTTTATGGTACTAGTTGTGAAAATGGTGGAAATGCGGATTCCTCATTCATTCTCACTTTTAAACTTGAAGAGCGTTTCAGGATGGGATTGCATTCCATGTCGTGTGGTTGTGTCATTGCATACTTGCAATTGATACAAGACCAAACATTATTTGAACAAAAAACAAGAAAATCACCTTTTTATTGTCACAAAAGCTAAATACATAGGTAATTCTTAATATAATATTAAACACAAAATATTAAAATATAAAATTATAATTTTCTAAAGTACGCTTTTTAATTTCTGAAAAAGTACCAGCTAACATTTTTGCTAATTATATTATATTATTAAGGCCTTTAAATTTACATAATAATAGTTTTGGCTAATATTTCTTTTTAAGCTCGTTAAATCTCCTTGTGAGGTCATCGAAATCGATTTCATCGTCTTTGCTAGCATCACTCGGTCCAGGAAGGTGGACATTTGGCACCGAAGGCAAATTCATTACATCAAAATCGTTGTTCATTTTTGTTCGGGGTAGCGGTTTAGGTTTATCGTCGGTGTTCTAAAAGCATTTATTTCAATTTGTTGGATGAAAAATTTCAAACGAAGCGCAACAAAATTACAACCCAAAGCACAAGTTAGTACTGTTATTAGTAAAGAAGCTGAGTTCACCAGGTTTACACAAATAGACTTAAGTAATACAAATGACAGTGCAATAAAATGCGTGCCTTATCCAAACCTCATATGATTATTTTTATAGCGTTTTTTACATGGGATTGTGAAAATTACCAATTTTATATGAAATGTCTTGCGATTCTTTATTAGTAATTTCAGTTCACAAAAGCAAAGGGAAATAAACTAATCATACCTCATCAATATTATCATGCAGTATAATATCACCAGAACCAGATCCACCCTAAAAGAAGTAGAAAACTGTTATGTATAGTATATCGAATTGCATCTGATTAATTGTGGTAATAATAATTAATTATTAGTGATAATGGAAAATTATTCATCTTCTGGCCCCATCTACAGTGAAAAACTCTTGAGAACTTGAAAAGTAATGGATTCCAGGTATCAATTATATTTTATTTTTTATTTTGTCAAGATAACATTTGGTTAAGGCTTGGTTTATTCATCTTCACCATTAACTTGCTGGTAGCTATGTATTTATAAAAAATTATAAATAATGTCAGGGTTCCAAGGCATGGACAGTTCTACAGAGGACTGTTATTCGAAGAAGAAATACAAGAAACTAAGCATAGGAATAGCGAAGGAAAAAAACAGAAAAAACTTTCTAACTAGATGTAAAAATCTTAATATTGTACCAAAATTTATACAGAATTGTATGTCTGAAGATGGAATAACAATACAAAAACGTCACAGAAATAATTTGTTTTAATGCACCACCAAATCCCAGGAAAGAAGAATAGTATATTGTGTATGTAGGTGGAAAAGTGACACATTCTCGGCCGACAGTGTAAATTGACAAACACCGAAAGCCGAGAATGTGCTTTTCCACCGAAATACACATACTATTTTTTCTGCGATCGGTTCAATACCTGTTAAATGTTTGTCTTTTAGTTCCAATTATTCAGCAGTACGAGAATCACTTTCCCGGCCTAGGCCGAAATAGTTATTTTCCTAACAAGCGCGTGTTTGCGTGCGGAAAAGACACTTTGCGCACGTGTTAGGAACAAAATTTTTCCTACGAGCTTCATATCAGGTAGGTAATAACAAAAATTTTAAAAAAAAAAACGATAATTTGTTTAATTATTTTTAATTAACTTGAAGGGAACCTATGCATTTATCAAAAAATTACATAACAAAAAAAAATAACAGAAAATCCTCTTCAGAGCTGCCGACGGTGTAAGTTGACTTGTTGAGTTGAATATCTTAAAGCGTTTAAATTTGATGAGAAAGTTTGTAGATTTCTGCATATAAGTAGAGAACAAATCTGACAATGTGTCAAAGTTAATTTATATTTGGTGTTTGTATAGATGTTGGCTGATATAGGACCAGAGGAAAAATTTGTCATCATGTGTCAAAGTCGACAGGTGCACTTATTGTTGCTTGACAATTATAATTACTTTTCGGCACTCAGTGCGGATAAGGCCTGTATCCGCACTGAGTGCGGAAAAGTGTAACTTTGAGCCCGGAAATGCGTGCGGAAAAGTACTACTTTGCGCACACTCGTAGGAAATAGTTATTTTCCTAACAAGTGCGCAAAGTGTTACTTTTCCGCACGCAAACACAGTTATACGAACGACGCGAAGCGGAGTTCGGATACGTGTTTGCGTGCGGAAAAGACACTTTGCGCACGTGTTAGGAACTAAATTTTTCCTACGAGCTTCATATCAGGTAGGTAATAACAAAATTTTTTAAAAAAAAAAACGATAATTTGTTTAATTATTTTTAATTAACTTGAAGGGAACCTATGCATTTATCAAAAAATTACATAACAAAAAAAAAGAACAGAAAATCCTCGTCAGAGCTGTTCATCTTAAAGCGTTTAAATTTGATGAGAAAGTTTGTAGATTTTTGCATATGAATAGAGAACAAATCTGATGTGTCAAAGTTAATTTATAATTGGTGTTTGTATAGATGTTGGCTGATATAGAAATAGAGGAAAAATCACAAAACATCCCCCCTTAGAAAGGTAAGTGCCGTGTTGAGAACCTGTCTATAAGTTTTCAGCGCCTCTAGTGACTGGGGGGGTCAGCTTTTGTAATTCTGGATTTATTGGCGAATGCAAAACGCAATTAGGGTTCGTTCGGTATCTTATTCGTTCCGGTGGATCGTTTGCACCATTGTTTGATTCTAGCGATTCAACACCACCACTTTAAAGTTTCTACCATTTTTTGGCATAAAATAATTGTGCCAAAAAGAAGAAACTCATAAAATCGGTAGTGTTGAAGCGCCTTCAAGGTAAAATTGACTAAGAATTAAGATGACAAATTTAGATATTTATTAAAGTTTGAAACAGAAAATATAATAGAATATGGAATTAACTCGGGAATTAATTACAATTATTGCGAAACAGTTTTTTTTTTCATGTAAGTATACATACATAGGTAGGTAATGCTAGTTAAGTTAAAGATAATAAGGACAGTTACAAGAAGTAATGACGTACATTTAATAATAGCTTGATGAAAAACTTAAATCGTAAATAAAATGACAAAAGAGGTCCTTTTCTCACAATCCAAAATCGTTGTTAACCTAACAAGTGAGGAAAGTGTTTCTGCACGTGATGGAAGTTGCACGAATGACAACAAAAAGCAGAGTTCGGACAAGCCTTTAAGTCCAGAAAATACACTTTCCGCATGTGTTAGGTAGAAAGTTTATGTAGTTATACATAATATAAAGCTCATTCAAGAAACTGATTTCGCCTGGATGATAGAATAAATATTTTTGATAATAGTCTATACCCTTTACCACTAGCTTTAAGCAAAGACAACGCCAACAACTTCTCGTCCAATGTAAATCGTCTAGCTTTAGGCTTTTGGTTTTGAGTATGGACTTGGCTTAAAATAAAGCTGTATATCAATGGATTGACGTGGTCTACGAGCCTTTGAAATTTGGTTTATGATGCAAGTTATTCAGCAGCAGAAACTTTGGATTTAAATGACGACAACCTTCTACTGATTCTTCTTAACTTATTGCTGGATTCTATAACTCTGGAATAAAGATATTTTTCCCTTGGGGATAGGAATTTTTGCCTAGTGACGTTAATGTTCTTTAAAATTTGGCATCGTCTCTCATGACCTGCAAAAAAAAAATAGATCAAGATTGGAGACGAGCTTTTCGCACATGCTTCTAATTTTTCTAGCATTCGACTCCAAGTTTTAGTAATTAGTAGTCTTTTATAGTAGTAGTCCTACTTGAGTTAGGATGTTTCAAAATTCACCTACTCCCAACTGGGTGGTTATTCATTAAGCAATAACACTTAGGTACCTACCAATAAAAGTTTTAAGAGACAAAGTTGGTTGGTGACTTTTTCATGTTTGCAGATGTGATGGTTCCACTTGGTGTAGCAATGTCTGCCCCAATTGCAGAAGTTTCAGTAGATAAAAATTGACGACATGAAGGGCCTGGTTGATCTAAAACAGAAATTTCGTTACCAATGATTCTACCAAAAAAGTTAGGATACACACATTGTAGAACATGCTGTACCTGTATGTAACCCGGAATATTTTAATTATTGTGTCTCCTGATAAAGGAATAAACATTAAAAAAGAAAAAAATGAATAATATTAGCTTTGTTCCAACACAGCAGAAAACCGTACAATGTACCGTCACGATTCTGCGCAGAAACTAAAATTGTTATACTGAGTGGTTTCGAAACCGTTCATGGGACGATTTTTTGACGTGTTGGAACAGAGTTATTATGTTTACCTACCTATGTCAATCATAGTTGCGAAACTAATTTCTGAAGGCGTCTTAGGACTCTTCGACGAGTTTCAACTGTGTCGATCTCCACTTTTTGCCATTTTGGTGATTGTGGTTTATCAATTAACGACTCCTCACTGTTTTTGATAATTGGGGCTAAAATTAATTTTAATGTTTCTGACCTATGCTCCTTTAAACCCGAATTCTAACACGTTGTCGTTAATCAGAACTATGGAGAGGAGTAAGTGAAAATGTAAGTACGTCTTTCTCACATATATCTAGTATTAACTTACCTTCAGGGAGATACAGCAAAAGCGCAGCATTCCATGTGAGTCCTCGTCTGGCTTTTGGATCGCCAACAATAAATTCTCGAGGAAAATGTCTTGTTCACACTCTATAATTATTATAAGCCTTCTCGGCACTGAGGCTATTTAGTAAAGGATTGCGAACTTTTATTAGCCATCGTTTCATTTTTTCGGCATCTTTTGGAAACCGGAAATAGCTGCTGTATTTGTCGCTGCACCCCGGAACACAGCATTTCTGATGCTTTTCAATTAACAAACTGGGAGAAGACATTTTGAGATAATAATTATTGATAATTGATAGGTAATTGATAATTCTAAATGTTGGGAGAAGTTCAAAATTTAAATTTTGACGACTGGAAATGACAAAATAAACTTCAAATCTTGGCGCACGGTCCGGCAGGAAAAAGAAAACTTTAATAGGTTGATTGAAGCGCCTCTAGTGATTGGAGGGAAAAGCTGAAACGACTAGACTGACGTCTCTCATAAGACTTACATTTCTAAGGGGGGATGTTTTGTGGGAAAAATTTGTCATCATGTGTCAAAGTCGACAGGTGCACTTATTGTTGCTTGACAATTATAATTACTTTTCGGCACTCAGTGCGGATAAGGCCTGTATCCGCACTGAGTGCGGAAAAGTGTAATTTTGAGCCCGGAAATGCGTGCGGAAAAGTACTACTTTGCGCACGCTCGTAGGAAAAAGTGTTTCCTGTATTGTTATTCATTGATTCCTTAGCAACTATTGAAACATAATTGAAATACCAGAATAATGAGTTTTGCGACCTGTCAAACGGTCAAAAATGCTGACATTTCTTGTCAATCCCAGAAAAAGTTATCATTATCATCATTAAGAAAATAATGATAATTTGGAGCTTGCAATAGCGAAATACAGATTTATTTTACCAATTCATCCAACCCAAAAAAAAAATCGTAATTAATTAGTAGGTAAAGTTCGTCGATTTTAATCTGAGACTCCAAAAAAATGTGAGCCAATGGCCACTTGACGTCACACCTGTTTTTGCCATATACTTCACCCCCTCGCTCCTCAGTGTCAGATTAAAATCAATGGACAAATATGTTGATTGATTTACTGACCATTATTGATAAAAAGTTGATAAACATTCAAATGCAGTTAAATTATTTAATAAATTACCTTATCAACACCAGGAAACACCATGCTATAAGTAGGCAAACTATCCTAGAAATAATAAAAGAAAAATAGCAAATGCGATAAAAAAAAATAATAAGCAAAAGTGCTAAGACAAACAGCCGATAAAAATAACAAAAAACGACTTACCATATAATCAGTGTTTGATTTCTTGTCTTCATTTTCAGGAGGAATATTATAGTTGAATGGTGGCGGTGCCGACGGTCCGCTGCCATCTTTCTCAAGTTTTGGATAATGCTGAAAATAGAATTACACAAGTTTGTAAATCAAAGATGAAGTTCCACTTACTGGGTATGAAAACGCGGGTGGATCCAAGACTGGTGGAAGGGGCGGCTGTGGATACCCTAAAAATCCTGGAGGTTGTGGCATGCCTCCTCCAGCACCTCCACCTCCTAAATTATTTTTGTTGTTGTCGGATAAATCGATAAGCATTGCGTCATGGCCTATAAATTGGGTCAGAAGAAAATATAGGTGAAATTATTAATAACTTGCCTTTTTCTGTTGCCATAATCTGTGGATCTGGTTCATAATCAATATTGAAAGAATTTGCAATTTCAATAACATATTTTTCGACTAATATTTTGGGTGGACTCTGTATGGACAGTTTGTGCTTTAGCTTTGTACTTAAAGTGTCTATTGACTCAATACGGCAAGCCTCTGCATAGGGTTGGCCATATTTGGCAGTGAGAAGGTCTGCTATAACTTTGATTTCCTAAAATAATTGGGTAAAAAAAAATTAAATAAGTAATTATGACAGTTCACCTGTATATCTGATTGCAATCTTGGAGCTACCCAAATTAAACTGGACACAGCTTCAGCTATGCCCTCATCAAGTTCTTTCATGTTCTGAATCAGACCAAATCTTGCCAATAGTAAGTCGCAATACATTTCTACTATTTCCAGTGCTTCTACCAAATAATCTTCCCTGAAAACAAAGAAGGAATTATAAGTTTGTAGTAAAATTATGTAGTTACATTTAAATGTAAAAAAAAAAATCACATCTTAACTTCTGGGACTTATAATACAATGTGTAGTGTAATCTAGCGGATAGACCATATCAAATCTTATATCAATATGAATAATTATTGAGTTGACTGTAATTTATGACTTGATATTGATATATACCCACACTATTTTTTTTCCATACTGGTTAATAGAATTAATTTTTAGCCAAATTACATTGTGATCAGGTGATTTGAAATCATCCTCTTTGTGGCAATAGAGCTGACTGCGACACAAAGACATGTTGGAACTAAGGTTGAAACAGACCTAATATCTGATGCATATGATAAGTACAGTTGATAAAATTAGAATTATTCCAGGTTTTTCAACACATTTTCGAAACAATCTATTGATGTTTCATGCATTTCTTCAATATTATTATATCCAATTGATGAATCATCACACTATGAAGTAATAAAAAAAAGGGACCAGGGTAATGTAAACATTGTACCAAAGTCTACCTTTCTTTCCTTATCTATTTTTATATTCGTCATTCCACAGTGGAATATTGTGGAGGAATAGGCTATTAAAAAAATAAGCAATTCGGAGTTTAGTAAGCATTCTTGACCCAATTTTCTAATAATTGATTAGTGTACAAATTATTTTCGTAAGTACCAATCACAACTATTTATAGCCTTCTGATCCTGCCCTTCAGTCACGCCATAGGTCCTAGAGAAAAGTCCCTTTATGCACTTATAAACTTTCCAAAGTTTTATAAACTATACTTATTCACCCAATATATTTGAAAGAAGAAATATTATATCTTCCTCCCTTAGGTGGCGGACCCCTTTGTTCCTTCATTGTTTACATGTTTTTTCTTTGAACGCGGTTTCTTGCTTGGAGCGCTTACAAAAGGAATTTACCTTCTGTTAGAGGTGATAGGTACAGAAATCAGAACTTTGATAAGCTATTTCTAGTTGAGTAAGTTTGGTATTGGGCTTTGAGCATTTGGCTGTAGATGTTTTCAATAACTTCTTCTTAACTTAGCGTGTCACTGATATCCAGGGCAACAAATTATGATTTGATTTTTTTTTTGGTAATTGGTGTCCCCTGGGGAAGCCGTCCACCATAATAGGTTACGATACCATTTGTGGCACGATTATACTATTTAAGGTAAGTGTAGCAGTGGGGCACTACCAAATACCGGCAAGAAATGGTTGAATTATGATTTGCTGTTGGATGTCAGCTGCTCAATGTGATTCCAAGTGGATCAAGCATACTGAATCATATAAGAATAGCTGAATGCTAAAGAACTTTGCCAGGCAAACCTTAGGATTTAGATTTCTGAAAACTTTGAAAAGTCATAACTTTTTTTCTGTTATTGCTCTGGATTGCTCCATTGCTCTACCTCGGACTGATCTCTACATTTCACCTCAAACCATTGACTCTATTGGTACCTCGATTGGTACAGTCTCAGATATGTGCGCATATAATAATCTTTTCAAATTAAATTATGTTTTTAATTTCAACAATGTCATATTAGATTTAGTGCTTTCACAAAAAGTTTTTGATGTACAGCAATGTGACCCACTAGTGAAAATAGACAAACATCACCCACCTCTACTTTTCTACCTTGAATATTATTCACATAAGAAAATAAACTCTATCAGTCCGCGAGCAAAAACTTTCTATGATGACTTCAAATTCGTTGAATATACTCTTGTTAACAACTATCTGGGTTCCTTTAATTTTGATGAGATTCCCTCTAGCTTAAACATACAAGATATGGTACAGAAATTTTATGATATCCTCGACAGTGCAATAAACCTTTTTGTTCCTCTCAAAAAAGTTGCTAGTAGCAAATTTCCAAAATGGTTCACACAAGAACTCATTAGTTTAACTATTGAGAATTTGGCTATAAATCTTTTCAACAACTTTCTCTTTAAATGATTACCATTTTTTACCAATTAAAGTTGCGTTTCACTGACATCCAGGACAATAATTCGTGGTTTGATTATTTCTTTTTGGTAATTGGTGTCCCCTGGGGAAGCCGTCCACCATAATAGGTTAGGGTCCCATTTGTTGCACGATTAAACTATTTAAGGTAAGTGTAGCAGTGGGGCACTACCGAATACCGGCGAGAAATAGTTGAATTGTGATTTGCTGTTGGGTGTCAGATGCACAACGTGGTTTCAAGTTGCTAAGAGTAAATTTCCATAATGGTTCACACAAGAACTCATTAGTTAAACTATTGAGAAAAAAATTGCCCACAAAAACTTTCGCTCCTTACCATCTCAACAAAACTTTCAATCATTTTCTAAATTGCGCACTCTATGCAAGTCCCTATGTCCAAAACTCGGTCCAAGATATTCAAGTCTCTCTCAATAATGATCCAAAACAGTTTTGGAAATACATAAACTCTAAACGCATCTCTCATAGCCTACCCTCCAACATCTCCCTTGACAATGTACCTAACATGTGAAATGGGTGTGGATGTAGCCAACCTTTTTGCAAAACTACTTCGGATCAGTATACTCTCAAAATCAACCAAAATTTACTAAAGAGACTTTTCTAAATAATATCAATATACTATCCTAGGCTATTTCAATATCTGACATATCGATATATTCTGAGCTATCCAACTTAAATAGTTCCAAGGGTCCTGGTCCAGATAAAATTCACCCTATTCTTCTTAAAAATTTCCCTTTTACACTTGCCAGACCTCTGCAAATTATATAAAACAAGTCTCTAAGCTCTGGTCACTTTCCAGTCGTCTGGAAATCTAGTTATGTCACTCCCATCTTTAAGTTCGGAGACAGTGAAGACGTGAAGAATTACAGGCCCATCAGTATTATGAGCACAATTTCCAAGATATTTGAAAAATTAGTAGCAAATTATAAAGTATTTAACATCAGTAGTCTCACCTCTGATCTCAAATAATCAGTTTGGATTTTGTGCTGGCCGAAATACGGAATTAAATCTGATGTCATACTCATCAAATATCATTGAAACCTTTAAAAATGAATTGGAAATACATACGATTTCTACAGACTTTGCAAAGGCCTTTGATAAAGTGCCTCACAATATCTTAATCCACCAACTTAAATCAATGGGAATTTTAGGTTCCATTTTTGACTGGATTGAGAGTGACATGACTGAATGTACCCAGATTGTAGTAAAAGTAAACAATTTTCTGTCTCATAGTCTCATACAATAAAGGTTTCCTCAGGAGTCGCCCAAGGTTCCCATTTAGCACCACTGCTCTTTAATTGCTTTATAAATGATGCCAGATCATGCTTTGAGCACAGTGCTCTTTGCTGATGATTATGATATAAAACTTTCAAAAGTAATCTCCAATACAAGAGACTGCTTCTTGCTACAGCATGATCTTAATGAGTTTGTACAGTGGTGCAAGACAATGGAATGGAGCTGAATGTATCAAAATATTAATTACATCATTGATGGCAATTTACTTTTGATGGTTGAAACAATAACTGATCTTGGCATAGTTCTTGACCCAGACCTATACTACACTGACCATATTACTTTCTTAGTAAATAAATCGCTTAGAATGTTAGGATTCCTAAATCGAAATATTCAAGATTTCAACTCAATCCATGCCCTCAAAGTTCTTTATTGCAGTCTAGTCTAGAGGTGGGAAACTATCGAAGAATTTAACTATTGATATATCGATAGCAACGAATAAAAACTATCGATGTATTGATATAACTATCGATAAAAAAAGGGTATACGTTTTGGACCCATTTTGTATTTGGAGTTTCAGCAATTAGCAGATCAGGGCAAGTCAAAATGTTAATGTTAATGAACTCCAACAGCAGTGTGCACATGAAGGTCTGAGATGAAGGCCCTAACCCTACGGCCTACGCCCTACAATACAAACACAACAAGACCTAGAGAAAAAAAGACCCAAATGAAAGTTATTATTGTGAATATCAATATGTTTAATTACACATGTTCTTTTTTCTTCAAGCTGGAAGTGAAGCACAGAAATAAACACCACTATGAAGTGAAATACAGTGTAGTTGAGTTGTGTAGGTTGTTGTTAACTGATAATAAGAGGAAACATAACTAATCTTCATCTTTTTTAATTTTGATTTCAACTACTATACCATCAAAAGCAAAATAAAAAACATCAAGGTTGTTTGAGAGATGGTAGGTTTCCAGATAACTTTTATGGCGTCATCTGGGGTGCCTCAACATATTTCCAAATCTCCATAAGGCACCCCAGACCAGATGACGTCATCAAGTTACCCATTACCAGACAATCTATTAACTTTAGGAGCCTCAATAAAAGATGAAATGTATGATATTTCTTGACACTTGACATTGCTGAGATAAGAAAAGACGGGAGAACTGCTATCGATTGTCCAAGTAGAACTATCGATAGTTCAATAGTCTAGCAAACTATCGATATATCGATAATTACTATCGATAGTTTCCCACCTCTAGACTCTAGTCAGGTCACACTTAGAAGAATATGCATCATCTATTATTTGGAAACCTCACTTTGAAATACACACCACAAGAATAGAGGGTATACAGAGAAGATTCCTTCGCTACATTAATTATAAATTTTTTACCTTTCTTTGCTTTTTAAATTAAGTAACTCTATAGCGGATTGTGTCCACCTAACAAGCATGATCAACCTTCCTTCATGTTCCCCATTTAAGTAAGATTTTCTATTGTTACCTGTAAGTTATTTTGTAATATTATTTTGTTAAGTTTGAAATAATGGGCTTCTGCTCGTCAAATAAATAAATAATTAAACTAATTACTAAGCGAAGTAGTTATGCAAATTCCTATTTTAAATGTATTCAGCTGTGGTTACTGGGGCAGTAGTTATAGCTTAGACTCGAGTGTAGGTATCAGGGTAGAGGGTACGTATAGATAACTCACCTAATAATAAATTCCACTCTTATTTTGGCCCGTTCATATTTTCCGGCTGAAATATAATCAGCAATTTCTCGTCTGGATTTCTCCGTTAGTTCGGATTTCTTTTTTTCCAGCAATTTGAGCCGGGTGATGGCCAATCTCAAGTTAGTCTTCAGTTTTGTATAATTCGGGCTGCTAGAAAACATTTTACTATATTTTTTCTTTATTGCAGTACAGATATTTTATTTTGCAAATTGGAGAGCCAAGGCCCAAGAACAATAATTTAAACAAATGATTCACTCAATAAATAAAAACATGACGAATTTTTCTAAGTAATCAGCTGACAGCAATGACAGCTGAGTCAAGCAGTTTTTTTGAGGTGGGTTCGGCTTGCTCACTCCGTGCACTCCGAGTGAATCCATTCGCATTCTAGTCGTTCGGGTACTGCTTTTTGACGTTTTAGGGGTGACTCGTGACTCCATTAGCGTTCGACTATACGGAGATGGAGTTCACTCCAAAGAGCTCTTAGTGTTCGAGAGCAGAGCAGAGTATACTCAAACGACCCGGAACACAAACAAAAAAGGAAATATCCGCACTCAAATGTTACAATTAAAGCCCATTCTCAATCAATCTAGGTCAGGTACAGTGACTCTATTACCATCAGTGGCGACATCAATAGCTGTCTTATTTTTGATTGGTTCTAAAATCATATATATTTATATGGCAGTGGATAGAGGTCCGAAAATTCGGATCTCTAGGTTCATACTAAAGTTCCGATAATTCTCGGATTTTCAATTTGTATATTAGGGGTCCGAAAATGCGGATCTTCATTGGTATTATTGAAGATCCGAAAATAGATGTTTATTTCTAATTCTGTCGTAATTCAATAAAATTGATAAAATGCTTGTATTTTTAAGGATTTATACTAGAAAAAATGGATCCTCTAATTCTTTTTATGTAGAATAGCTAATCAAGTTCACTCGAAAATATTTGGTTGGTGCAATTTCAAACAGAAAAGTACAAAAAACAAAACTAAGTACCTTTTTATTTTTTTAAAACATTACCTACATAATTAAAAATACATATTTCTTCATTTTAAGGGTTGATAGGGTAAGAGGTGTGAGGTGTGATTTAGTTCCTTCTGCACTGCATGCATAACCAGGCTTTCTTACTAGAAGGCAGCTTTGTTACTGAACAACACACTTTATGTTTACACCGAAGACATGAATCACACCATAAGCAATCTTCATGTATCACTTTGCATATATCACAAATCCATTTTAGAATACTATTTTGTTTTTCTCCAATTCGTTTTTGTAATAAAACATAAGAATCCAGACAAAAATATGTTTCTATTTCTACTAAAGATATTTCTTTTTCAAGAAGAAGTGGATCAATTTGTTGATGATGAGGAATGTTTTATTTCTCATTTTTAAAGTTTTTATGTAGGTAATGCTTTGCTTACAAAATCATCTGTATTTAAAACTGCATTAAGCATTATCTGGTGCCTCAGTTTAGGAACTTCATTTTTGAATGAAGCACTTTTATTTTTCTTAGACCTTTTTAGTCCAATTGCAGTTAATTGATGTCCCTTGGGTCTTCCTTTATGGGTTTTAGAGGAAATTTAATACTTTTTATTTTTTCTTCTAATTGGTTTGTGCAGTAGTATTTGGTTCTTGGGCTAGTTATATTAAAATAGTGTCGCAAATATCTACAAAGAATAATATTCAAGATAAGTCTGTTTCTGCAGAAATCACAAATTAATCAGAGCAAATTTCATTGGTTGAAAACAGTCAGAAACAGTCAGAAAACTAGTATCAACCAATGAAATTCACTCTGACTGGTTTGTGATTTCTGCAGAAACAGACTTATCTCGAATATTATTCTTTGTAGATACTTGCGACGATACTCCTTAATCAGACAGAATTAGAAACAAACATCTATTTTCGGATCTTCAATATTACCACTAAAGATCCGCATTTTCGGACCCCTAATATACAAATTGAAAATCCGAAAATTATCGGATTTTTAGTATGAACACTAAAGTTCATTCCACGAAACGAGATAGTAGAGGTAAACAAACAGGCGGAGCTTAAAAATTCAGAGAAGGACTGCAAAAAATATATGAATTACAACTAATGACATTTATTATTGTCAGGTTGTCATATGAATCAATTAGGCAATTTGAACCACGTGACATTCAAGATGGCGTGGCGGCCCCGCATGGGCCAAAAAACACAAAAAAATATCTAGTTTCTGCCCGATTTAATAATTTAGGTACCTAATCAACAAATATTTTATTAAATAATCATTCTTAAAATATAGCAAAATAATTTAAAATACGCATAAAAACATATTCAAAACAAACTTGCTTGGCCTCCACGCCATATTGAATTTTCCATTTTGACTAATGGATTAAATTGCCTAATAAGTTTATTGCCGTATTTCCTAGTATTTTACAATTATTTAAATAGTGTTTGGTGAACTATTGTTAATTAGTGAGCAATTTAGATTAAGGGCCATATTCTCCGTAGTTCATAAAGCCTGGCTTAGTGGTAACGCTTGGCTTTTTGCGTGACAAAGCCGAGCTTTTCCACTAAGCCAGGCTTTATGAACTACGGAGAATATGGCCCTAAAACAATATCAATTTCAACAGATTCCGCTGAAGAATTTGTTCGGAAATATACTCCTTGACAAAATTATCGCACCACTACTGCACATAAGCACCATAAGCAGTGGTGCGATAATTTTGTCCAGGAGTATATATTCAGAGAAGAGAAATACAAAACAACCTAAGACAGTCCTGCCTCGGGCGGAGTATAATCCTTTTCTAGCCAATAAAATTTGACCTAAAATTTGTTTTTTTTTTAAAGATAAAAGTCAAAATGACATTATGTTGGCAATACAATGTAAAATTGTCAATGCTTTCAAATTTTTATGTATTGCCAACATAGTTACTAAATTGTTGACATAGGGAATTATCTTTAAAAAAAAAAGCAAACTTTACCTGTCAAAGTTTGTTTACTTTCACTATCTCGTTTGGTGAAATGAACTTTAGAGATCCGAATTTTCGGACCTCTATCCACTGCCTATTTATATTGCAAACGCCGCCATCTTGTTTCCACCTATTGCTTATTTCAAATCTGAATATATGGGATTTTAGGTGAACATTCATCATAAAACATGGAAAACAACGTATTTGATGGACCTAATTATAGTCATCAAATACGTCGATTTTAATTTTTTATGATAGATGTCCATTTAAATCCTATATTATATTAATATTTAAGTAACAAGAGGTTGGCAACAAAATGGCGGCGGGACCTCTATTGTCGCCATTGTAGGTGGGTTCGGCTTGCTCACTCCGTGCACTCCGAGTGACTCCATTCGCACTCCAGCCCTTCGGGTTAAGGTTCGGGTATTGCTTTTCACCGTATTAGGGGTAACTCCATTAGCTCTATTCACTTCACTCCAACTCCGCGCTAAATAGCCGAACCTAGCTTGTATGGGAAGGTTTATTTACCCACTGTAAATCTAGGTAGCGAAGTGGCACTTCTGCAAGCATGCTAGGGCAATGTTGTTTAACGTTGGCATCCTCAATTCAATTCCGTGCTAGCATAGTTCAATCGGCTAGCATGCCTGCCAACTCCGAATGCAAGCTGCAAACTTTTTCGATGCGTGTCGACTTGTGTCATGCGTAGTAGGGTAAAAAAATAAAATAAAATTTGAGGCTGGGTATCAATTTCCCAGCCCGCGTGCCGAAATGCCACTTCGCTACCAAATTGATTGAGGATAATTTAGATGAAATGCAGTTCTAGTGCGGTGTCCGTGTAGTGTAGTGTTATATCACGTGATGAAAATGTAAGCGCCGGTGTAACACCGAATACACCATCATTTTATACCGATAAATGGTGTCTCACTATATTCACATCATTCGGACACCAAATTATTTCCAAACGCAAATAAAGTGTAAATACATCAAACTCTCCTACCAATTAACGCCACAGTGTCAATAGTGTAAAAAGTGTCGACACTTTCTACCATTCCGAACTCACCTAGAGTGTAAAGTCGAACTCAGTCCATGTTATCGAACACAATTCTCAAATATTGTTTGACGTTTGACACTTCGAATGTTCTCGGTTCCCGTGTGATCACTGTTTTGTCAATATTCGAATTTTCCCTGGTTTTTGAATTTATTCCAATTTTTTCCAAAACTTCCGAATTTATCAATTCTTGAAAAATGAGTGGAGACGGTGATAAAGCTGAACAGTTCGACTCTCTTTTCCTCACAATAGCGCAACACCATCCAGAAGGCGCCCTCAAGGTAAGATAGGATTTTTTTTAGAAATTATAACCTCAAAGGCAACATTTATTTGAATTTGGATTTTAGCTTCTCGACACGTTTGTAAGTTTTTTGGGCCGAAAAACCGACTTTTTCACAGGCGGCAATGAAGGCGATTGGGAAAAAGTATGCAATTTAGAAGTATAAAATCTTTATTCCAGCTTCCTAATGTTTGTATTGTAGCTTGTTATGAACACGTTCAAAAAACATGAAAGAATAAGCCGTTCCAGCCGTGAGGCCGAACTGAAAGCAAAAAAAGAAAAAGAGGCTGCGAGAAAAGCTAAAAAGGAGGCTAAAAAGCTTGAAGAGCAATCTGTTCAGCCTGCAGAAATTAAAGAACTGACGGATGAAGAAGCGGAAAAGTTGCAAAAAGAACTTGACACTAAGCAAAGCGTTGAAAGTGTTGCAACTTCAAGCGCAGTTGGCACTTCTTCTGAAACAACGGAGGAGGTAACTGAAGAGGAAGAAGATGAATCAGAAAAGGGAAAAATTAAACCTAATAAAGGCAATGGTTGCGATTTGGGCAAGTACAAATGGACGCAAACATTACAGGATATTGAGGTAAGATTATAATTTAAAATTTTCATATTTTTGTGCGTCAATATGATCTTTTTAACCTTTTTGTATTATTGCCACCCCTGTAGCCCAAAAAAGAGAAAAAAATAATTTCAGAAATGGAATGATGTGAACATATTTGGAGCAAAGTTGATTCTGATTTGAGTCTTTTAGTCTTTAGCTTCAGAAGCACAAAAAAGTTGAAAGAAAATTACCATTTTTCTATATTTACTAATAATTTATCGGTGCATTGATTACTGTAGCAATTTACTTTTTCTTATGAACTAGAAGCCATACAGGAAGATTTTCCCACATTTCACAACATACCAGTCTTTTATAGGAGCTGTACCAGGTCAAGATTACTACCCTAGAGTCGAGACTAGAGTACTATCTTTATGTTCCAATAATAATTATTGATTATACTTAAACTATTGTGAGATCACCTCCAAAATTAATTCTGCGTAACCTATCCAGAAATCTCTCTTGTGATGGCCACAACAGCCTACCAAAGTTTTGTTGTAATCGGATAAGTGGTGTAGGAGCGCATAAGGGACAAACAAACAAACACGTTACAGATTATAGATTACCTATTTCTTATTCTACTTTTGTTTAAAATAATTCAGTTTAGTCTCTAGTTTTGCTGCTTATAATAATTCTTGTTATAACTGTAGGAAAAATCTTCATCTATCTGAAGTGGAGAATTTAATGACTATTCATAAAGTTGTGCTAGCTAATTTTCCTATCTTAACTGCTATAATAAAGTCCTTGAACTTCGATGGTGACATCTTATCTAAACTACCTATTCAATTTCTTTTGTAATTTTTTGGATTGTTGGTAATAGCTTGGATTGTTATAAAAAATAAAACTAGTCAATAAATTTTTAAAATTTATTTCCAATTGTCATACAAATACTAGATTTAGAACATATTCAATTACGGTATACTTATTCAAAAACTCATACATACACTATAAATACTGTACAATATTATCAACTTTTTACATATCACAGTAACACAAAAACTAAAGACACCGTTAGAGAAATAAGTAATGAGATAGCACATTTCGAGTAAAACATAAAAATACAAATTAATGACTTTATGTACTAAAATAAGGGTTTGAACAAAAAATCTACACAAATATTTAAAGTATGGTTAAAAATTAGTTTTAAAGTTGATAAAATATCTTATCACAAACTCAAAAAAAAAATAAAATAACTAAGTTGAAGTTGTATAACTCACAATAAATTTTGAAACTTTATTGTGAGATATCTTTGCTTCAAATATCATAAATCTAAATTTACTTGCTTACAGTATTTAGTTGCACCTTTCAAATGAGGTTCACCATCGACTGGCAGTGATTTTAAATCCAACCCACCTTCAAATATCAATAATGGCACAGATTAGAGTGGGTTTTTAAATAACCTTACTTGTACCATGACACATGAGTTCACGTTTTTGTTTTTGGCAAAATTTAATTTAAATAAATAGAATACTTAGTAATAATAAATATTATAGGATTAGACCAATACTAGGTATTGAATAATTTTCTCTCTAACAAGTTAAACAGCAACCAAGATTGTAGTTTGATATAAAGAATATTCATTTTCGTTGGTTGGAAAAAGATCATACTTAAACTAATGCCACTGGTGGAGTACTGATAAACTATAGTGAAAATCTGTTTCTATTTTTGGCTAGGTGTCAGTATCTTCTTTGGTCCCTAGCCCTCACTGAAAAAGACATTAATTGTATGATCTGATGAAATGCTTAAATGTATACTTACTTTCCAAAACATATACAGCTGCCAGAATGCCTATTGTAAATAATGCAGACATACTCAATACCAAAATCGTCAATTGATGTTTTCTACAGAAACTTCTCTTAGGTACTCGATGAGGTCTAGAATTCACATTGACGACGGTAAAGTGCATGGAACTAGCTATAGAAACATTATCGGGTTCGGGTTGCTTATTAGTCTTTGGAAGAGACGCTATTAAATCGTTGTGTTTGTCGTTGTTCTCCAAGTAGTACTGGATGTTGAGGTCGCGCGTGGTCATGGCATCCGCACTGGAGCTATCCTTCACTTCTCTGGTTTCCTGGTGGATTTGGGCCAAGTTCGCAGCTGTCAGTAGTAGGGAACCTGATCTGGCACTCTGTAAAAGGAAATTCGTGAAAATAATTTATTATATGATTAGCAAAACTAGCATATTTTTTTATCATGCATTTTGCGTCTTTCACGTTTTTTGTCATCGTTGATCAACAATAATTATTTTTATCCTGACTTTTTTCAGGTATCTGTTCCTGGATATTTTTGGATATCGTCTGAGGCACTATTTAGATGAACTTTATATATTTGATACTACTTTGATTTTTCCTGGATTAATATTTTGTTCTATTAACTTCTCTTTCAATGAATTTTCTTGTGCATTCTGGCTCTAAAATCAAGATTTCACTGTATATTTCCCTATATTTTACCTGATTCTTACTGGAATAATATATGTATTGAAAAATAGTGTTTTTCTTAAAATATAACTTCAATCTAGACTTCCATACTCATGAATTAAGTAAGCTCTAATATTTTAATCCATGATCTTAGCTGTCCGTTTGGTGCAGCAAAAATAATACCTTAAGTTAGTGAACAGAAACTTTTGCAAAGAAGAAATAATAGCTTCATGGATTTCAGCTCTTGTTAGTGGGGAATTGAAAAAATCCACTAGCAATGTTAGACGGAAGTCTCAAATTGACATTATCTCTAGTTGCCAGTTTTTATGTTGTTCTCATAAAATGCGCCTTTACGTTTTGTATCAAAACTGAAAAATAATGCGAAACCGAGATGTATTCCAATTCGCCATTGTTATGAATTCTTGCTGCATCGAAATAATTATAAATAGAGTTTATTATTACACCACCCACATTTGCATTTCTTTGCCTTCGGTCAAGATCAAGAATAAAGGCTGAATGTTGTCTTGAATTTAAATTCCTTTGATGAATGCATAACCTTTGGGAATTATTAAATTGCATTGTATTGAATTATTTTGAAAAATTAAGATATTACATAGTTGAAATAAAACAAGTCCTTACCTGCGTACTGTTATTACTTGACGCTGAGCCCTGCGAACTATTAGAGCTACGAGCTAGTGTGGGTCTGGGAATGTGCCAACTCTTGTCGAGATCTGCTGGGATCTGAAAAATAAAAGAAATTTATGATGCATTTATAAAAATTTCAAAAGTGTTTAACAATAAATTTGCCATAACATAAATTATAATGGCGTTATGTTCAATGGGACAATGGTAATTTATTATCCATTACCTTTCACAATACGAAATTATCTGGAAAATTTTATTTAATACTCACCTATACGGCATATTGCATTGTCTATAAAATTGAATTTATACTGCCAACATTAAAACGTTACAAATCAAAATAATAATAAATGTGCATGGAGGTACTATTGAAATTTTGCCTCGCCCATGATGGGCTTTGTCAGTTGGCAAATATGGAAATATAGTTTAATTTTTACTATTTCACAAAAAAAAAGAATATAAATAAAAAAAACAAGAATTGGTATGTCAATGACATATTTTGTCAAGGTCCACCCATAGACATAAGCTATTTTTCTTTCAATTGCCAATGTCATGCTCATGCATATTTTGTATGGTCTTGAAGTTAAATATTCACCAATACAAAATTAAGCTTATCAATTGACCAGAAAATACAGAAATAGATAGTTTTTCCTTTTTTGTCTAAAAGTTTCTAAAACAGAGAAACCTTTTCTTTTCCTCTTGTGAAAATTGCTAGCTGAAGATGCTTCCATATTCACTTAATATTTATGTGTAAACGATTTGTATACCAGGAAATTAACACTTCGAATAAATAACTTTTTATTTTATCAATTCCTTAATAAAATCTTTTGAATATGCTAATCATATGCATAAAACTTTATAGATAGAATTACAGGTGTTTCGTAGTCTGGCGCCATAATTAAGTTAAACAAATTTATTTGTTGTTTCAGTTAATAATAATAATATTAATAAATATAATTATTGAGATCCTTGTAATGTGTCAATTTTCAAAAATATATTTTTCATAATGGTTACGAAGGTCAGTCTTGTGGAATTTTTCAATAACTTGTCATTCAGTTGCGATTCTGATAACTTTAAAAATTTGTCCCAATCTAAGGTCAATAATTATTTGTTGAATTCACTATGTATGTCTATTTTTAGATGGATTCCAATACATTTCTCAACAAGGAAAAGATAGATGTGATTTTCTTTAGATGGCTTGAGACATGTATGGATCGACAAAATCAATTTTTTATGCTAATTAATTGGGAATAATTGCAAGTGCATAATTTCCTAGTAGAATTTTATTTTCCATCAAAAATCAAACTAATGTTTCATTTACCGTATAATGTTACAATTGCGTCAAACTATTCAAGTTCTTGGACACCTTTCGGCGAAGGCCAATCGATAATAATAATTGCAACATCTTTCTTTGTAGCAATTCGTTCAAGAAAAAAAATACCATTACTTATCGACAAGTACAAGACATTACAGTCAAGTTCGTCTCAAGGTTGCGTTTAAAAATATTGCATGTAACATCTTACAGAGATATAATTTGATGAATTTCCCAGATACAGGTATCAATCTATAAAATTATCCAGATAAATATTGATTGAAACTGTAGAATTAAGAATGTTGTTATTAAAAGATCACGTCATTAAAATAATCCGCGTTGTCGCCCACGACATTTCGCTTTGGAGACGGTATTCTAGCCAGCAGCATTTTGTTTACATTCCATAGCGGGTAAGACGTTAGATGGCAATCAAGTGCTCCGAACGACCTTGCCTAATAAATATTTATGAATATTTTTCGGTCAACAGTCAACAGGTTCCGGATCTTCTTAATCTTTTATGATAATCTCATAGTGTGTGATGCATAAATTTATGGTCCTCGGATTCATATTCTGGTGTCTATTGATGTGTAGCGTAGTAACAGTAATAAATTCGAGAGAAGATAGCAAAAGTTTGGAAAAATGGAAAAACATTATTTTTTCCAATAACAGTCTTTTTTATCTTTTTCTTTTTCTTCTTTCTCATCTTCCTACTATCCTGCCCATGCTAGTTTTGTCTTTCATGCAATTTTCGCTGTCTGGTTGCTTTCATCAAGTTTCAGTATATCTGTCCTATGTAGGTGATGCTGAATTTATCCAAAGAATGGTTTTCAATTGTAACTTTTCCTTTTTCTTTGGCGTTATTGGTTTTTGGTCATCACTTTTACTTTCCCAATATCAATTTCCAGCTCCTTTTCATTTGATACTCCTGTCAACTGACTGTGTAGAATCAAATTTTCTCTCCAATATTTCACTTCTCATCCCAAATTGCAGCTTATAGTCATACAAATCCTTCCCTAGGCCTATTTTTGGTTCAAAATTATTCTCATTCATGACTTTCTATCCATAGCTTCAGTGTTTATCTTTATATCATCTGGATCTGGATCTGGATTTCTGTTTGAACTCTCATCCCACCCTCCTTTCAGTATTTATTCTTTGCTACTTTTTTTCCTGCTTCTTACCCTTTTGTAGAACAATTTTTTTTCCTTTCAACTTTATTTCAAGCTTGATATCAACTGTATTATGTTTTATCGTTCGCAAAATATGTTGTTGTAGGCCTCTCGCCTCTCTCAAAATCCAAAGTTTCGGAATTTGTATTAGGAGCTGTTCTTGCACCGATGATAATGTGGGGATAGATAAAGTAGTAATTGATAATTGGGATAATTATTATAAGACTCTTATTTTGAGTAATTCCTTCTCAGTAATGTTATGTTATAATTTAAGAATTAGCTTGATCGATATTTTTATGCCCGGCCGGATCTTGTTCAAATTTACACATAGTGGCACAATAAATTAATTTTTGAAAATACCGGTTTAGTGTCCCGGACTAGAAAAACCCAGGAATAGTAGGTAGTTGCCGTTTACGTATTCTATTTGGTAACTAGTTACTAACTAAACTCGCCTTCATCAAATATTTTCAAACCAATCTTTTATTCGCAAATTATGGTAATATGGGAAATCCAATATCTGTAGGTTATTTGCCTCTCTCAAAGAATGTAAGGCAAGGTTATGGGTGATTGCTAATTAGCGTTTTGTATTAGCTTGACCTTTGTTGGCCCAGCAATTAGTACATTTTGTTTGAAGTTTGCATACAATTTGGAAAAGCAAATTTGAAAATAATTTAGAAAAATAAAATTGGAAAACCAAATATGAAAATAATAGATTCAATAAGGGAAAGGTACATTTATATTGGAATCTTCTATGGGAATCAGTGAATCTCTCATCAGAAATCAATGGAAATCAATGAAATTCATCTGGACATCACATAGAAATGGGTTGAGAGTCACTCAAAAATCATGGAGAATCGGGCGAAACTCATTCTTTAGTTTATGCCGAGGTATACGCCATTAACAATTTGTGTTTGAAAGATCTGTCAGTAATTCACCAATAAAATATGTCCAATTATAAGAGAAAAAATCCCGCATCACGATGACTGACATATTTGACTCATCAATCGTCCCAAAGTTCAAATTCACACAATTTATGATAATTCGTATCACCTTAAGAATGGTATTGAAATTTACGTTATGCAATAGCGGAAGGTCAAGCACATCGTAATAACTTATAAGGTCACTTTGTCGTCTGATTCTTCAGTTGATGGTACAATTCCGCTTAGAAATTTGTATTTGGACTATTCCTGTAGTGTTTTTATAATTGGACCTTGTATAACTTTTGAGTTTTCTTCAGCAAAGCAATGGTCAACCGTCATTATCCTTGATAATTTTATTATCCTGATTACTGATAGCACTAAAGGGCGTCCCAGCACGATCGATCGGACAAGATGCCTCATAAGTTGTACTTCTTGTAGGCTCACACTGGTCAAGTACATACAATAAAAGATTTTGTCAAGGTTTCCCTACTGCATTCTTCTTATACGTAATTGGGCATGACTGTACCGGCTTCTTTTTGAATCGTGGATAATTTTAGAATGTGGCACTTTGGTACAGGGTTAACTTGATTATAAATTGCAATAAAAACATATGTAGATTGGGCATTTTAAAATATTGTCGCATATGAGTAACGTAACAAATCGAATTTAAACAATACTTATTATAAAAGTAAGGAGTGGTATATATTGGACAATATGTAACAGCCAATCAAATTACTTAAACAGGTATTACAAAAGAATTAATTAAGCCGAAAAAATTCAGTTACATCGCACAGGTAGGGCTTATGGATTTATCAGGAAGAAATTGGACCCATAAGGTGTGTATAGTAGCAAAGAACTTGAACTCTTGCGTAAGTTAAACATAATAACAAAAAGTGACCTACTGATCGAATGAACATTGACTTGGTTTGTTTCGAAGGATTGTAAGTTTTTTAAAAATTAATTTCACCGTGAAATGAAAGAGATTATTCCGAATGCATAGGAAACAAAATTGCTCAATTTTATGTTCTTTACATCTTTTGTAGAGATTATTTGAAAACGATATTCGTACACGGTCATTTTACTATGAATTTAAATACATAATTACATTTGGCAACATTTTTGTCATTTACTGGAAATTGCTGCACTTGCATCATATCTTTTGTTATAAAGCGAAGCCTTTTTTGTGTTCTTGTCCTATTATTTTTGTTATTAAACAAGCTCCTTGAATTCCTCCTGAATTTTTTAATAAAATCAATTTTACACAGAATGAATCATATTTAAATTTATTTATATCGGTTAACATGTCGCAATTATTTTTCATTCAATGTTAACCAGAGAAACGCAGCAAGAAAATCCATAAATATTAACGTGCCGATTTGCACACAAGCTCACCAGTACGAACTTCTTCAATAATAATGTGAAAGCGTACTTGAAATCTGCGTTGCTGCTGCTTTAGTCTGTTACGCGATTATTAGATAATTTTGAGCGTGTGAAAGTTTAAGGGCGGGCGTGGATGTTACGCCATGTGGTTTTTCCAAGAACGATTATTCGAAATTTTCTTAGAATTCAGTGATAAGTGATATTTACGGATAATGTTTCGTTTTCGTCGCTGCTGCTGGCCTTTATAGACTCTTTTTGTAAAAGTAACCACAGTATCAACTTTTCGAGGCAGTTCATAATACCGCAACTCCTATAATATTA